AAAAAAAATAGAAGCCCAACTTCAAAAGGAATTTCAGACCCTCCAGAGAAAGTGTGACAGCATCTGTGAGCCCTTCCTTGAGAAGCTCTCTGCTCTCCTGGCGGGTGTCTTAGAGTAGGAGAGAGGCACTCACCCAGATTGTAGAGTTCACAGCCTTCGGATTCTGAGTCTCATGATGTTGGTTAATCAAAACAGAGAAAAAAATTCTAAAATAATTCCTGAATATTGGTTGATTTTAAAAACCCATCGGAAGGTACAGAATTTTGATTAAAAACATGGTCGCCTTCTTCTGATGGTCTTCAAAGATGTGAAGAGGGAGAGACCACCTCCTGGCTACCCATTTGAAGTTCACCTCAAACACAGCTGCTATCATCCAAATCGTGTCCCCGCAAGTCCGTATTCTATGATAGAAGATGTGGCCAATGAACCTAACGATGAATATTTTGCACAGCAAAGTCTAGAAGCAGACACGGGCTAAAGGGAACACCAGCGTTTTTGATTCCTTCTGTGAAAACCGGTCTGCAAAGGGTGCTGGGCAGATGTGGGTGAATTGAGTGTCGCTTTGAAAAGTTATCCGAGTCCCAGTCCATGTGGGACGGCCCAGAACAAGCTGAACTAGTTCCTAACACTTATTTCCATCTATTTAGTCTTTCTGAAATTCCTCAGGGCAGGAACGTGGAACTCATGGAAATGAATAGTCATCAGAGACTTTGCCGTTGCTGGAACTTAAGTAGCAATCTTTTGAAACCCAGAACTCAGCCTTGCTCTTCTCGGGAGACTTTTGGCACCAAAGAAAAGGCCAAACTGAAAGGCTACCCTGGCAAGGGGGGCACGACTATTGTTGAGACTGGGAGGCTGCTTTTTTAAGACCTGGCGAGGGTTCCCAATGCCCACATTAATAACCCACAAAGCAGGTTGTGGCATCTGGACTGTGCTAATTTCACCATGATTATTCATTACCTAAAGCCTTATATATTTTGTGTTTTTGTGGTAGAGTGTCCTAAAAAGACATCTCAGTATTAAGAAATGGGGCTGTATCATCAACAAATCACTTTACTTAGCATTTTAGGAATATGGGTTTGTTTTGTTCCCTGCAGTGCTGTAGAATGAGGCAAGTTCTCTGAAGCATATTTATTCATTGCTATGTGACTAGGGACTTCGAAGTTTTTTTTTTACCATCCTGCTGTTAAAGGGTAGCTATCAAAATTACCTGAACTCTTTGCTGAAATGACTTATTTATTTATGCATGTGAGAAGCCAAACCAAATGTGTGTCTCATTTCTCCCGGATGCAGAGGCAGCAGGGTTTAAGGTGGCTTGTACCCTCTCCACCTGCATGAGTTTTCTATAGAAAATGTGACATAACAACTCTGAGATGGTGCATGTAAAGGCTCTCAGAAGAGCACACGCATTAAACTTGTTTGAACTTTGTACAATAGGGTGATGTGTACAAAATTATAAGCAGAATTGAAGTTGTTTACCTCTGCTGTTATTAATAAAATTTGGGAAAGGGGGGAGTAAGAAGAGAGAGCAAAAGAGAAAGAGATTGATCGATAGAGAGAGAGAGACTTCCAGTCCTCACTGGCTGATGCGTAGTGATTATTACCTATTTTTTTTTTTGGACATAAAGCCTCGAGCTGTCCCTCTGGGTAGAGTGCCATGGCATCACAGCTCACAGCAACCTCCAACTCCTGGGCTCAAGCGAGTCTCCTGCCTCAGCCTCCCAAGTAGCTGGGACCACAGGCACCCGCCACAACACCCGGCTATTTTTTGGTTGCAGCCATCATTGTTGTTTGGCAGGCCCAGATTGGATTCAAACCTGCCACTTTAGGTATATGTGGCTGGCGCCTTAGCCACTTGAGCCACAGGCACTGAGCCTGTGTTTTGGGTCTTGTAGGAGTGACAGCTCGGTCATCAAGTCATCTGAGGATCCAGAGTTTCTTTTCTTTCCATATGTAGCAGTAATCCATTAAAAGGCCATCGCTCCTTTGGGGAGGGTTAAGGAGTCTCTGTTGTGTGTGCTCACTGTGGTTACAGGCTCTTCTTCTTCCTTAAGTGACTGAATCTGAGTCTGAGAGTCTAGATACAGGTCTGGGAACTGGCTGATGGATTGTGATCTTCTATTGCGATAGCTGACATCGTCCACCTTTGCCTCATTTGCTCCTGGACGCTTTCAGATGTAAAGGTCAAGCAATGGCCTTATGCAGTCTCAGGAATTGTGGGATCTATTAGCCACGGTCTCAGATTCCTGCCCGTCAGGCTGTGTTTGCCGTGCTGACTTTGAGGAGGTTTAACAAAGAACTGTTTCAATGATACTGGTGGAGTGCAGGGATGCACCAAGTCCTATAGGGGGGAGGGAACAGAGTGTCAGGGATCTGGGAGGAGAGACCCATGGGAAGGTGACCTCGGGAAGAGTAGTGACCCTTGTAGAGGAACCCAGTGACCCACCACAACCTTCAGGGAGGAAGCCAGCTGGGAGAATGACTAACCAGGCCTCACCCACTTTTCTCCCCCTGGGAGAGTCTGCTGGGACCGGATCTTAGGCAGAGAGCCAAGGGGAGAAGGTTGGAGGGTCCGGAGAGCCAAAGGGAAGCCGTGTACCACAGCCTCTTCAATATGTGTGACCACGAGGGACGAAGCAGGACAGGAAAACCCTGGAGGAAGCCGCAGGGCTGTGGGCAGCCTCTGTGAGCACAGATGAAGCACACCCGTTCACAGCCCCCAGAAATATTAAGGGAGAGGCTGATGTTCTGTGTAACAGGCGAAGGCTTCCAGAGCCACTAAAATAATGGTTGTTGAAGTCAGTGTGATCCCATTGTGGATGGTGGCCCATGGGGTCCCGGGAGACAGGGATATGTTTAGTTTCGAAGCATTTCTGACTTTCCAGATGTCCTTCCCAGGGAGGCACACACACAGGAATGACTGTCCCTAACAGCTGTATGCAAAATATCTACGCCTTCTGTCTGTGGGCTCTGCCCTCAGGGCTCCTGGGTGGTGGCAAAAGCATGACTATGAGAGGAAGGATGTCGCCCTCAGCTCTGTGGGGTTCTGAATGGAACAAAGAAACAAGGTCTGATGGTGCTGCTCCCACTCGACCTTGTGGATTTCTTAATTGGTAAATGATTTGGTAAACACGCTTGTGAGGATGGGAGAGAGACCATTTCCCATGGTCCGTTTTTTTGTAATGTTAGTACACAGATTTGTTTTAGATTATAGTTGGTGATTTTTATGTGATTTCAAAAAAGGTGATATAGACACAGGTTCATAAATAAAGCTGCATAAAAATCCTCATTCCCCCCCCTTCCCCCCGCTCTGTCCCCCACTTCTCACGCAGATGATCCCTTATTTAAAGACATATACAGGTCCCTCCAGGGTTTTCTTTGTGAAAATATTAACACATACAAACATATATGATTAGTCCCCTTCCTTACACAAAAGGAAGCATTCATTACACAATACATTTTTTCTTGCTTTTTTCATTAATTAATATATCCCAGAAATTATTCTTTGTCAATACACAGATTCCTCACTTTTTTTGTTTATGGCTGCATAACAGTCTGTGGGAGAGATGTTCTGACATTTGTTTAACCACTCCCCCATTAGGACATTATCTGGGTGGTTAGCAATCTGTTTCTCCAACAAAAACTGATAAAAAGTGCTGCAATTAGTTGTTTAGTGTAGTCATCGCTTCTTATGTGGACAGAAGTGTTTGTAGAACTAGGGTCAGTGAGTCCAGGAGTAAATGTGTTTGTAATAGCCACGTACTGATTTGTTACTGGGTCTCTGTAGTCAAGCAATGAATTGAATATTATTACCGGTGAAAATCTCCAAAGAGAAAAATAAATGCTGGGTCCAGGTGTAACCCACAGTCCGTGTAGAAGGCTGGCATCTTGTGGTGCTAAACGTTTCTGAGAGTGTGCTCACATGTGAGCTCTGAAACCCAATTTGAAAAAATAATCTAACCATCTGGTTATTATCATAACACCTCACCCCACTTCCAAATAAAGTCGTTTCTTGCTCCAGCTTATAATTCCAGTGGTTCAAAGGTCTCAGGGAGCAAAAGAAAGGCAGCTCTGAACCCTCCACTGGGCAAGTTCCAGGTGAACCCACAGACTCTAGGCTTCCAAAGGCAGGGTCTACAAACCCTCCCTTTTTTGTAACATAACCATGAACTTCAAAATTGCATGGCAAAATAGATCTTTATTTTTAAGATAGCCATAGGAAAAAAAAAAAAACCCAAACCCCAACAAAAACATGGCACTCACACAAATAAGGGAGGACAAGTGCTTCTGGTATTTTTGCTGAAGGCCAGCAGAGCGGGTTGGGAGAAGCTTTGCTCAGACAGAGAAACACTGGAAGAGCCAGCCTTTTAAAGGGTCATGGAAACAGAGTGTGCAGT